ATTTATTTTTAAATAATATAAATATGTTTATATCTATAATATTTAATTATATTAAATTTAGGTTTGTTATTAAAAATAATGATTGATATGTGTAGTTATATAAATTATATAATATTTAAAATGTTTACTAGTTTTAAATTAAAAATATTTAATTACATTTTTGGAAAATAATTGTGTATAATTATTTTTAATTTTTATATATTTTTAAGAACAAATGATCTTCCAAAAACTCCATATGAGACCTTTGAACAAATAACATTTGGAGAACATTAGCATCTTGTAAATGAATTGCTGAATGTTTTTCTCATAAATGTTGATTGGATAATGAAAGTATAATTATTATGATAATACTACCAATCAATCCATCAACATATAAAGCTGAAGATGAAGTCATTTCCGAGAAGATGTAATAAAATTCGTCTAGAAGAAGAATCAATGAGAGAATCAAATATGAAAGATTCATATATTTAGATAGAGTATATATTAATCAAAATACATGATGTGTCATAAATGTGATCTATTATTAATCAATAGAATAAAAATAGGAGATGTAAAGGTAGAGTAAGAAAAACTTATTCATGAAAATAGAAACACTAACTCTATAAATATGAAGATCTAGCTAGTTAATGATTAATCGGAGATATCCATAAATTAAATACTTTTTTATTTATAAAATAACTTATGTACTATAGTCTACTATTCCTAAAATATGTCAAGTATTCATAGTAGTCTGGTGATAAAGAATTTGTTTGAAAAGTAAACAATCTGGATTCAATTCCTCATCAATTCTTTTTTTTTTTTTTTTTCTTGCAGGGAGATCCACAAATATTCTGACGTGGCATGCTGAAGTGATCAAACTGCCCCATTATAATATAGATTTAATCAATCAAAATAAATTCATAATTTAAAAATACAGTGAGTTCACTATTCAACTATTATATATACACACTTTTAAACTAACATTTTCTAGTTCTGAAAATATAAACGACACGATAATACTTTTTTGACCATGTTTTTGTCTTTTGTTTGCTGACCAAATCAAAAGGAAAAGAGGAAATCGGTTCAATGATTGGTGTCCGACGTGTACTCACACACTTAGAGTATGATTAGCCCGGGATTCTTAGGATAAAGTTTTTAGCGGAAATGAAGAATTTGTTTCTTAACTTTTAACTAAATGTTTAAGAACCGATTCTTAATAAGAACTTTAAGAATTATTAAGAACCGGTTCTTAATTTTTTTAATTAAAAATTAAGAAATAGTTTCTTAACTTACTTAATCATGGTTTTAGTAGGCAAGCTTTCTTCTACCAGTTTCTTTAATATATAAGTAGGATAAGACATGCGCATTGCGTATGAAATGTATGTAATTAAAATATAAAATTTTAGTATTGATAAATTTAAAATTTACATATGATTGTTTTTATATGTATTTGGAATTTTAGAATTTTCATATAATTATTTATACGTATAAAAAATTGTAATTAGAACTATAGATCAAAGCTTAGAATTTAATGGGCCCGATTTCATATATCTTTTCACTTTTCAATGTTTGAGTGATAGAAAATAAACGGAGTGTCACAAGACTTGATTGATAGAGTATTAGAAAATTCCCTAATTCTTTCTTAATAAGCACCTGGTAGAATATTTTAGAATATATAAAGTTTCAAAATTAATTTAATATAATTTATTTAATTGTCTAATAATATTTTAAAATATTATTTTTTAAAGAAAGGAATAATTTTATAAAAAATTAATTTAAATTTAAATTATTTAAAAAAATAAAATTATTTTAAAAAAATATTTTAAGTTTTTCAAATAAAAATTAAAGCTAAAAATTAATATGGTCATGATTGAACATAACCATAATGATTTAAAATATTAAAATTAAAAAAAATTAACAAACTAAATTTTATATCAGGATTTAACACTTTAAAAATTAATTATGGTTATGAGAAATTTATGTTATCGTGTCAATCCTATCTATTTTCAATACTTTTCTCTTTTTGTGTGTTTTTATTTTGGTTATTACTCGATATAAATATTGATTTTGAAGTTTATTCTCATTTTGTTTGTTTGTTTGTTTTGGCCTAGGATTTAGAAAATGCTTAAGATTTAAAATAATTAAAGAGATACATACTTAGTTTAAGATCTGCACTTTATGCACAATAAGTATTTTATATTTTTTATATTTTATGAATATTATGAAATAATAAAATAATAAGTATATATATATATATTAAATAACTAAAAAATCAGTTACTATTATGTAATAAATTGGCATATGCATATAAATCTAACGATCATTCTTGTTTATCGCAATTAGGGTAAATAAATCGAAACAATCAATCTTGTATCATATATGATATATATAATTAAATTTAAATGATATTAACATATATATAACACACTTTTAATAAGAATAGTTATTAAAAGAGGTTTCTAGTCATATGATTTTATAATTATTTCCATATTTCTGTAGTAAAATTTTACACCAACGAATTTTTTTTAATGTGAGATGTTTAGTAGTTTAAATAATTTATAATCATTTAAAAAATGACAGATTTCAAAATTAAAATATTAACTTTTCAATATATGTTAAATGAAAATATCAAAATATAAGTATGTATTTTCATACAATGTATAATTCAATTTAAAAGATATGAAATATATATATATATATAAGTTAACGTAAAACCTATTAAAATAAAATTATTTCTTCATATGGTCGTATAATCATTGTATCTTAATATAGAAAAATTATTTAAACCTTGATCATAAAAGATTATGTGAGATTATGTGAGACTTTTAACACTTTTAGTAATTTATACTCGTTTTGAAAAATTCGAAATACAACATACACAAAAAAAAAATCTAGATTTTTATTATATGATTAATGTAATTTTGTAATATATTTTAATAATAAAAAATAAACAAAATGATAAAAAGTATACAGATTGTTATCAAATTTTTATTGCCTAAAATCATTAATTGTCATATATATATATATATATATATATATATATATATATATATATATTTTAATCACATTAGGTAATTCCGTATGCGAAACAATAAATATTTGATATATAGGACTAACTATAGTTTGTGAAATATCCCTTATATATTAATTGAGAAACATTTGAAAAGATGTGACCTCAATTTTGTATTAATTAAAAGAGGCCCCAATGCATAGGTGTCATTCAATTAGGTAGTCAATTAGATTCAATTGAAAAATAAGTAAGTCCACATTGGATTTTTATAGGTTACTAGATACATTAGTTAGTCAAACTATATGATATAATGATATGATATGA